TATTAGATAAAATTTCATTACTATTCTGTGGCAACTTATTGTTTCACATTCTCGATCAAGAAAAATATACAATAAGATCTGCAGATCCTGGAAGATGATATATTATAATCTCTACGTACTATTTAGGATGTATTTTTGAAAGAATACCGTTAACTTTACACCAGAGGTCAAATGTTACCAAATTCATCAAAAACCATCAAAGACTGTTTACTATGTTGGACACTGTTGGAAAGGGTCCATCATTTGTTTGACCTACAAATCGTAATCACCAATTTTGAATGATTTTTAAAATTTTCGGGCAAAATTATCGGCACTTTTTCAAAAATGCATACAAAAAAACCTATTTTCAACAAATGGGGGAATCTTTCCAACAATGTCCAATAATCCATAACAAAAAGTTTTTGGGGGCTTTTAAAGTGTTCAATTAAGTTTTGTCCTTTAGTGTGAACTTAGTGGCAGTTTTGGAAAAATGCTCATATCTTTTCAACAACTGTCACTTAAAATGTATTAACATAATACATATTTACATAACTCATAACAAACATAAAAGTATACTTTAAAATTAAATCTTTCTAGTATAGTTAATTTAATCTAATAACAGTATTGTAATATGTTAGTTACATGGTTTTTGTCTTATCATCTTGAAAAATAAAAACCAAAAATCCTAATATAATTTAATAATTTTTGTGAATAAAAATTAAATATTAAGAGACATACATCTGAGGTAACGCAGACCACGACTCTTCACTATACTCCGTTCCACGAGAGAGTGCGACCCCCATGCGCATCGAAATGAATTAGCTCCGACGTCGCGAGGCCAAATTTCCCCCACCATGTGGCGTCCGCTCGCTGTACGTTTGCGCATCGCTATTGTTATGAATGACCTTTTTTGTAGGCCGTTTGCGCAATACTATTGTTATAAAAGGCATAGGGTGTTTTCCAATCGCTATTGTTTCAAAAAACCTTTTTATAGGCCGTTTGCGCATTGCAAATTACGTATACCAGGTTTTATTTACACTTACAAAAATAATCGTCAATATTCATAATTCATATTTAAAAAAATTACAAAATTAATATCCACATTTACCAAAAAAAAAATAAATGTATTTTGCATTCTGGAAAAACAAACTTAATTTCAATATGGGCGCTTTTTTCTAAATCGGCTCTCATTAAATTAGGCATGAACGACAAATTAAATGAACCACACAACTCCTTTAAAAAGTTCCACATCTTAGTATAACATTCCGTACTTGTATAACTTATCAGTTATACATATTATCTCACCAATATATCTGGTCATGTCACTAATAGGTAGATAGGTAATAGGTAGTAGGTACCTTTCTATTGTTAAAATTTGCGATGCGCAAACGACCTACCTGATTTCTTACCTGAGGTACTAATGATGCTCAAACGACAAACTCCGGTACACAGTGGCTCAAGTAAAGCATTACAAATATTAACCACGACTAATCATTATAATAGAATATATCAGTATAAGAGTTATTTTTACTGCTCTGTATATTATAACAATGTCGTTCGACAACGGTACGACGGCGATCGACAAATACCGACGGTAGACAACATTGACAGGAATGTGGTGGGGATGCTTGAAAATGAACATATTTTGGTCCCCGCCCAGTAGCACTCTTTCGTGGAACGTAGTATATACCTATCCTATACTATATAGCACCAATGGAGGGACAGGTGATCACGGCAGCTGATGACCCTATTGTTAATTTGATGTTTATATTTTGTTATGTAATTGTAATTTTTTTTTGTTCTATAAATGATGTTACACGGGGGGTAAGTATTGTGTAAAGGGTTCACCCCCATGCAGCGATACTACAAGGAAATAAAAAGGTATACCTATATTTGTGTTTGTCACCATAAATATATATATATAGAAATTAATAGTATTTCTAAAATACTTCTTATTTTTCAGGTACCTGTGTAGCTTACATGAGAAATGGTGATACCTAGTACTAAAAATCTAATTCTACAATAACTCAATAACTTAATCCGATCATAACAATTTACAATAATACCATTGATTAGTTATTAACTTTCGACCAAGATTCTATATATTTTCATACATGAGAAGGTATTGTCTGTGTAGTTATGATAATTATTAATTAAAATCTAATTTAATAGAAGTTATTTTTTTTTTCGTTTATAGAAGAATATTTTTAAACAGTATATAAGGTAATAGAAATTATTTTACGCATTTATCCAAGAAAATTACTCAATCAGTAAAGCTTAACTTTTTAAAACATCTCAGGAATTGAAGGTTAATGGAAATAACTTTGTAAAGAATAACTGTGTATGGATTGAGTGTGTGTGTGAAATGAATGTGTATAATATATAGATAAGTGATTGTTCTATCCTCACTCAATTGCTTAATGTTAAAATTGATTGTTCGCGTTTGTTACGTAAATCACGTATGCGTGTGCATTTATGTTGTGTTTTTGAACATTGACGTTGGTTATTGGCAATATTGGCACGATAGGTGTGTTTTGTATAATTGATGCTGTTGTAAGTCTAATTTTGCGAATGGTTTTAGCACTGATATCTGGTTATTTGAGCAAATGTTGTTTAGTAAGCATATACGTCCATTAATGTTGTATTTTGCACATTGACGTTGGTTTTTGGCAATATTGGCACTAGAGGGCTGTTTTTTATGTTTGATGCTGTTGTAATTTTCCTTTTGCTCATGGTCTTAGCACTGTTATCTGGTCGTTTGACCGAATGTTGTATAGTAAGCATATACGTATATTAATGTTGTTTTTTGCATGTTGTCGTTTGTTTTTGGCACTATTTGCCCGAAAGCAATGTTTCGTTATGTCGTATGTTTATGAGTGTTATTGTTAATATCCCTATGCAAAATATTTTAGCACTAATATTTTGTTGCTTTGAGTAAATGTTACATAGTGCGCATGCGTGGAGGATGTGTTTGTGTCGTGTAAGTTATACTTTCTTAGCATAGTGGTGAATGAAATATTTGATTTTACGAATTTGTAAGTTAGTATAATATTTATATAGATTCAAGTATGTAAGTGCTGTAGTGTGTTTCTAAGAGGAATTGTTCTGATTCCCTTTATGATAATATCTTTTTGTTATTTTTTATAATCTCTTTGTATAGTTTTTAGCAGCGGTATTATATTGCTTAAAGGCTTAAGGAAATGCTATATTTCTGCTCATAATATGTCGTCGTTTATTTTGTGATATTTTTATGAAAGTTATGTTTTGTTAGGTCATGTGTTTATGTGTGCTATTGTCATTTTTCCTTTGTATGATATTTTAGGCTTTTAGCTCTAATATTTTGTTGCTTTGAATAAATGTCACATAGTGCGCATGCGCGTGCAACTATGTTGTAATTTGCATGTTATCGTTGGTTTTTGATAATATTTGCACGAAGGAGGTGTTTCGTTAGGTCGTGTGTTCATGTGTGCTACTGTCATTTTTCCTTTGTGTAAAGTTTTAGCAATAGTTTTTGGCATTTAAGTGAATATTTTATTGGTGAACAAGCGTGGGTGTAAATATTATACTCTGTTTTTTGATGCAATGAATTCCGGTTGCGTAATAATGTATTGGTGTTGCGTAATGTTATCTTATCTTTATTATTTCTTTACGCCCAAATATGGGCACCTTTTAGTGTGTGGACATATTGTAATGTTAATAGCTCATCGTGGAGATGTGTTGTTTTTTAAATTATGATGTAATCGTTAAGGAAAGTATGGTTACCTAATATTATTTTATATTGCGTAGTATATTTTAATTGCGTTTGATTTTTCACACTGAAATAGGTATGTTCGTTTTGGTTAATTCATTATATACGTTTATTTAAGTATATATGAGTAAATTATTTATATATATAACAATTATTTAACTACAACTTTGGCAGTGCTCGAATTGGAAATATAATAGAAGGGGTGCTAAAGGACTTTTAAAAATTTAGCGTTCCCCTCAATGATTTAAACCAAACTAACCCGTGGGGGGCTTCGCCCCCCCCCACACCCCCTATGAAGTATTTTCAACACAAATCAAACAATCATTAAAATTAAACAAAGGTTACACTACAACAATAAATAAATATTATTAAATTACAAACAAATCTTTTATTTTATTTTAAGATATTTTATACATTATTTAAATTTTTAAATTTTTAATATATTCCATAGCTCTACATATGAATGGTTCTCTTCAATATTTTGAACTACATAGGTACTGTTTACAGTGTTACCGACCATCCGATAACATGAATTTTTAATTTTAATCTCGATATAATATACATTATTTATACACATTATTAGTATATCAGTATATGAAAGCCTGTATTATAATCACGGACTAAGATTTATAGTCTGTGGTCCGTGATTATAATAATAAATTATCTTATTATCTTATATAATATTTTGATTTTTATCATTAATGAAATTTACAATTTATCGCATATTTTGTTCAAATTGATAATACATAATAAATATCTATAAATAAACGTTTTATAAGTTTGTCAATAATAATTTACACGGGAGACGTACCGTCCCCCCGTTCAAATTAAAAATATAAGAAGGGGTACGCTAAAAAAAATTAAAATTTGAAGGGGAGCTCCGTCCCCCTGCGTCCCCCCCCCCCAATTCGAGCACTGAACTTTGGTATGCTTCCTCAAAACATTTTTTTCGTGAGTTGTGTTGCTTCCTGTAAATTATTATACCTGGCAAATGTTCGTGTGTTGTACTGCCTATGTGTGCATTTTAAGGAGCTCTTTTTTCTAAAGGTCTCACTTTTTTTATATACTTGGTGTGACCCTGCCTGTTCGTTGGATTATGCCATGAGCTTATATATTCTATTCTATTTTTTAGTTGTATCATCATACTCTGTTATTGGCGATTCCACTTTTGCTATTTTGTTTTTATCGGAATAGAATAGGTACATAAGCCTGGCAAAGTCATGGACAGAACCCGAGACCGCCGAGCCTTAAACTGCGATGTAAGCAGTATAAAATGGAGTACCACCAACCAACCACTAACTTGTCTTTCATCTGTATCGTAGCAAGACCCACCCGGGGAGACTTGAGCGATTCAGGTGAGAGACATCCTCATTCCTCATCCTTCGTTCGTTTTCATCTTTGTAGTGAGACCCACCCAGGCAAAATCAAGACAACCAGCTATGGAGTCTCTACAAAAGGCTACACAACCGACTACTCATCATCTGATCTTTCACCTGTATCGTAGTAAGACCCACCCGGGCAGACTTGCGCGATTCAGGTGAGAGACATCCTCATTCCTCATCCTTCGTTCGTTTTCTACTTTGTTGTGAGATACACCAAGGTGGACTCTAAACCGAAGAAGCTTAATAGGTGATGGAGCCTGTATAAAGGGCTACACAATTGACTACTCATCATCTGATCTTTCACCTGCATCGTAGCAAGACCCACCCGGGCAGACTTGCGCGATTCAGGTGAGATACATCCTCACACTTCGCTTGTGTTCAACTTTGTAGTGAGACTCACCCGGACAAACTCAAGACCACCAGATTTGGAGTCTGTATATAAGGCTACTCGACTGACCACTCATTATCTAGCTATCTAGCCTTTCATCTGCATCATAGCAAGGTCTGAGAGATTTTTGCAATTCAGGTAAGACACGTTTAAACAACATCCATAAACAAATCAGTAATAAAATATGCTTTTATAATATCACATTAAAATATACTTATATGATTTATCCATCTAAATATACATAGAGCAACAACCAAAGCTACTTTATGCATCCAACCAAAAATTTAACTCAATCACAGGTCCTTAATTTTTTATAGTTTCTCAGCAAACAAAAGTTCATGGAAATAACTTTGTAATAACAATCAATGTTGGAGTGAGATATTTGAATATTAATATATAAGTACTAATTAGTACCTTTGTAGTAAAGTACCTATGTAAACTAATAACTTATCTTGTTCTGTGATTATTCCGAGATATAATATACACGTACATTTCCCCACCCCCACCCTTTTCAATTTTTCAACTTTTTCCAACGCCAATATTTAGTGCTCAATTCCTGCCAATTCCTGCCGCCACTCCCAGAATTCCTGCTCAAAAACACGCCCCGCAAAAAATAAAAAACCCCGGGTGGGGCTGGGGAAACGTTTCTCCAGCCCCACCCCAAGTCGGAAATTGACTTTTTTAACTTTTTCCAACGCCAAAAATTTAATTTAATTTTTGCGGGGCGTGTTTTTGAGCAGGAATTCCGGGAGTGGCGGCAGGAATTGGCAGGAATTGAGCACTAAATATTGGCGTTGGAAAAAGTTAAAAAAGTCAATTTCCGACTTGGGGTGGGGCTGGAGAAACGTTTCCCCAGCCCCACCCGGGGTTTTTTAATTTTTGCGGGGCGTGTTTTTGAGCAGGAATTCCGGGAGTGGCGGCAGGAATTGGCAGGAATTGAGCACTAAATATTGGCGTTGGAAAAAGTTAAAAAAGTCAATTTCCGACTTGGGGTGGGGCTGGAGAAATGTTTCCCCAGCCCCACCCGGGGTTTTTTAATTTTTGCGGGGCGTGTTTTTGAGCAGGAATTCTGGGAGTGGCGGCAGAAATTGGCAGGAATTGAGCACTAAATATTGGCGTTGGAAAAAGTTAAAAAAGTCAATTTCCGACTTGGGGTGGGGCTGGAGAAACGTTTCCCCAGCCCCACCCGGGGTTTTTTAATTTTTGCGGGGCGTGTTTTTGAGCAGGAATTCCGGGAGTGGCGGCAGGAATTGGCAGGAATTGAACACTAAATATTGGCGTTGGAAAAAGTTAAAAAAGTCAATTTCCGACTTGGGGTGGGGCTGGAGAAACGTTTCCCCAGCCCCACCCGGGGTTTTTTAATTTTTGCGGGGCGTGTTTTTGAGCAGGAATTCCGGGAGTGGTGGCAGGAATTGGCAGGAATTGAGCACTAAATATTGGCGTTGGAAAAAGTTAAAAAAGTCAATTTCCGACTTGGGGTGGGGCTGGAGAAACGTTTCCCCAGCCCCACCCGGGGTTTTTTAATTTTTGCGGGGCGTGTTTTTGAGCAGGAATTCCGGGAGTGGCGGCAGGAATTGGCAGGAATTGAGCACTAAATATTGGCGTTGGAAAAAGTTAAAAAAGTCAATTTCCGACTTGGGGTGGGGCTGGAGAAACGTTTCCCCAGCCCCACCCGGGGTTTTTTAATTTTTGCGGGGCGTGTTTTTGAGCAGGAATTCCGGGAGTGGCGGCAGGAATTGGCAGGAATTGAGCACTAAATATTGGCGTTGGAAAAAGTTAAAAAAGTCAATTTCCGACTTGGGGTGGGGCTGGAGAAATGTTTCCCCAGCCCCACCCGGGGTTTTTTAATTTTTGCGGGGCGTGTTTTTGAGCAGGAATTCTGGGAGTGGCGGCAGAAATTGGCAGGAATTGAGCACTAAATATTGGCGTTGGAAAAAGTTAAAAAAGTCAATTTCCGACTTGGGGTGGGGCTGGAGAAACGTTTCCCCAGCCCCACCCGGGGTTTTTTAATTTTTGCGGGGCGTGTTTTTGAGCAGGAATTCCGGGAGTGGCAGCAGGAATTGGCAGGAATTGAGCACTAAATATTGGCGTTGGAAAAAGTTGAAAAATTGAAAAGGGTGGGGGTGGGGAAATGTACGTATAATATACATCTTTCACAACTATTAGATCATTTAATAAAGGCGTATTCTTCGAGATCGTAGATTAAAATGTTCAATAGGAACTGACGTAAGTACTTACTGGCTTTTTTAAAACATCAACCTTTATTATAGTGTGTGCGTAAGTTTTTATTAACTCATTATTTTGTCAATAAATATATATATAATATATATATATTAATATTTACCATCTTAGAATGATACCTAACTAGTAACTCTTATATTAATTTTAACACTAGAACAACATCCCGTGGAAGTTATTAGTGAGTACCTACTTCACCTACCTTCCGTGCCTGGACAAGGAGACCGAATGTGTCCACTGCACGTTGAGGATAGGGGAATGGCCATTATATTATTATGTAATATTGTAATAACTAATAGTTAATCGTGAATATCAAATAAACAGTCGTTATAGCAATTATAGCTCTCTGAAAGATGTAATTATGGTTCAATAATATGGATTTTAACAATATTCAGATACCCACCAATGGTTTCGAAAAATAAACATGCCAATATAAGTTATAACTAGGTACCTGAAAGAGGGCTGAAAGTGGAGCTTAACAATTAGAAACTCTAGGTTATCACAGCTAATAAGTATTGTAACTTTGGTATGTATTAGACATGTATTGGACAAAATTACATAATTGGTCAGTGTCAACTTATTGTTTCAAATTCTCAATCAATATCAATAGGCATAAGATACCCGAAGATGCTGGAAGCTAATATAATATGATTGAGGACATATATTACTATTTTATAAAATTAGAATGTTTTGTAATATGATACACATTAATTTCATAAATTAGAAATATATGACCAAGACTTATACTTTACTCAGATTCAAAACGTCGATTTGGAAAACATTTTATTATGGTTCATTGATACTCAGAAAATCTAACTTCGTACACATTCCCGATACCTCTAACATTTAGAAATTAGCCATCTATTAGCTGAAGTCAAATCCTGGGACCCCCATGAATAGATCTACCTATTTTGTTATGTAGAACCATTGAAATCTGAATATTACAATCACAGAACAGATGAATAATATTTTAATTTCATCTATTCTGTGTTATAATTACGTCACTGCGGCCTGCGACTATATTATGTTATCTTGGTCTTATCACAGTGAGCAAATCGTGTTATCATTGTATCACTGATTCCGTTGAAATAATAATAATAATAATATATTATGGCGGTCGCGAACCAAGTGAGTTGTTGTGAGTGTAGTGTAAGTTGTTGCGGTTGTAGTTGTAGTTAGTGATGGCAATAATATCATTATCAATAAAATTATCATTTATCACAAAAGCTTACTGAAAAAAAAAAAAAAATCAACTAAAAAACACTATTATAGTACGACTGCGGTTCGCCGGGAGGCCCGGCAATGGGTAGATTATTTTGCGTTCTAAGAATGTTTTTATTGCTCTTCACGTCGTCGTTCCCTGATAATGACGATTGTTTCGAGTCCACCGAACGTGCGCGCCAATTAAAACGACCAATAATTACGTTGAACGTCCAATTACGCGTAGACTGCCGCACAGCTACGGAATATTAATATCCCCTTTATCTAATAATAATAACACACTATTATTGTATTATTAGTAATTATCTGTGATAAAAATCTAGCCGCAGCTGATTTCTCAATAAATTTTGAATGCACGAAATAGTTGATGATAATATTATATTATATTTTGTTACTCGAGTAGCGCCGTCGAGGGCCCTACGCCTACCTACCTACCCGCCGAGGGGACGTTGCGAAACGATGGACAATTATACTCAAAATACGAAGTCGAACTTCCGTCATTGAACAGTCTCTGCTGAATTGGAAACTCCGGTTCGAATGACACAGCAGCCCGACAAGACGTGTCGGTTGGACGACAAGAGAGCACAACAAGTAAAGTCTGCCTTGCCGATGACTAAGATTCATCACAATTATATGCGTGTGTCAAGAATACTATCTTTAGATTTATTGATGTTCAATGATCAACGTCTATAGTATGGACGATGAAGCAGATCTCGGAGAGTCGTTGGCTTCGAACCAAGACTGTTCGCCAAACAGCTCGTCCAGTTTGTCCAAATCCGATGTGATGTCTGGGAATCAGATGATCGATAACTGGTGTAAGATTTATTTTGTTGATTTCCCAATAAAAAAACGTTACTATTGTCTAAAGCTAATAACAGTGGATACCCACACATGCTAATTTTAATTTGCTTACACCGATGAAATATTTATAGAACTTTGTAAAATCCAACGTTACTTATATTATATAATACGTTTTCAGTGGGTCTGAGTGTACATTGCACTACATCTATTGAAGATTTTTGTGATGGAGATTTGGAGCAACCAGACACAGATCCATCGCCATCCACTTCTGGCCTGTCTTATGATTTAACAGCATTTCCAAAAACAACATCAGCAATGACTATGTTTTATCCACACTTGAATGGTTATGACATTCACCCATTGCTTTTGAACCAAAGACGGCGGAATCAAATGGAATCATCATTTATAGACCCATTGAATTTACCACCACATCCTCTTATGCCTGATGTTCCACGTCAAATGATTCATAAAAATAAGGCTAGTATTTGTAAAAGTTATCTTTAAATTTTAATGAATATGAATAAATATAAACATTAAATTAATATAAATCATAAGTTACTTATAGTTTTCAAATAAGTGAATCAAACTTAATGGGTATTTATTTTATTATTATAAAATATATTTCTGATGGTCTGTTTTTAGTATTTATACATTTCCTGACTGAACTTTGCGAACAACTTTCACATCATCTATGCCAAAATTACTCCAATTCGGTGATGGTTGGCGCAAGATAAATTTTATTTTATACAAATCTGACCAATCTATTTCACTTTCAGATGATTTAATGCATACATAGTCTTGTGATTCAAATTCTGTATGAGCATTATCCATTAACTTCTAAAATTTGTGAAAATAAAATAAAATTTTCTCATTTTTACTGAACTTTTATGATTGCTAAATATGTGCACAACCTTTTGTCTTATGGCTATGTACCATTTTTTTAATCTATTTGAATCATTATTTGATATTTTCATAACTAAAATTGAAATAATGTAAGTATAATAATTTTTAAAGTTTATTTCACAGACATCTTGTGGGATAGAACCAAAGTCTAATATCATCGCAGTACATCTAGGATTATAATCTGGATTTCTCTGGTCATTAATGTTCAGATAAATTGGTATTACAGTAGCACCAAATTCAATAGAATTTTGATTATTCTCTGCTGGTGAACGCTCTATACTCAAATCGGAATTTAGTTCATACATATAATTTTCCATTTTTTTTAATGTTTGGTTCTATAAACACTAGACTGTTGTTTAAATGCATAGCAATAAGTATTATATAATAATACTTTATTATAAATAATTTGTACCAGCATAAAATAAATTAATGAACATTTTTCTATTTTTTAGGTACGTCCAAAAGTATCTCACAGGCGATCAGATTTTACAAATACCCAGTCATCAGATTTTGAACAACCTTTAGTCGTCGATACAGAAAAATATCATCGCAAATCGTTTTATTGTGTGGCATGTAGTAAAACGTTTAAATTCCAAACATCGTTGCTGCGACATAATAACAAAGTGCACATTAGTAAGTACCAGTGTCAATCTTGCCATCGTGTATTTTCAAGGCAGGCATATCTTGACGTGCACACATCTAAACAGGGAAGTTCATGTTACCTGGGTAATGGATATGGCATTGCAAAGTCAAAAAAATAATTGTTTTCTACAAGGAAAGAGTTATAAAGTTTTTTAACCAAATATAATATAATACTTATATATTTATTTTACATATACAATACTTATAGAGTAGAATAAGTTCAAATCTTCACTTGTGAAGTGTGCCTCAGAAATAAAATAAAAATTTCTCATGAGTTCACTGTTTATTGTTTGTTATATTTTTTGTTTATAGTTTATATTTATTTAAAGATTACATAATAATCATGAAATATTTATTCTAGTCAGGGAACAGTCCATTCTAGTCTGTTCAGTAGTTCATCCATATTAGCATTAAAACATAAATTACCATTTGTCATTACTCTGGAAATAATTGTACATCAAGAAAAATACTTTTTTGTCTAAAATGTATAACATAAAACATAATGTGTGTTTCAATTATTAATTAACATATTTATATATTTTATAAAAAATGAAATGTATAATTCATTAAATTGTGCTCCGTACTGAATGTTTCAAAACATGTTGTAATGCAATATTTGTAAGATTCTGATTATACTATAGGGAATTTTAGACTGACTATTTTTGAATCAACAAAACAAAAATTATCCACATGTGTAGTGTAGTAATATATTTATTTATTATTTTACACTACATACTTCTTTTACTTTTATATGTATAAAAATTGGTAATGAACCAAAATTGATAAATCATTCATTCCTCGATACCAAAAAACATTCATAGACGAGCTTGATATAATTTTCTAAGAAAGTTAACATTTTTACTGTCAAAATAAAAAATTTATTTTCTACTTTTTAATTATTTTAATTATTACATATTGTTAATTAATCGTTAAGTGTTAAATACTAATCATAACCTGTGATTTAAAAAAGAATGTTTGTTATTCATAACTGTTGAAAAATTTAAATTTGTATAATTATTTGTATAGTTATTATTGAATACTAAGAAAAGACATAATAAATTATATTTTTATATACCTATTATATAATAATAATTTTCAACCAAAAATCAATTTTTATGTATCCTAAAATATAAACCATTATGTTATGTTTAAAACTATTTTATAGTTTATTTAGAAATAATTGAAAATTAAATGTTTGATTGTTTTATTTTGTTATTGACTTGGGAAAAATGAAAGATTGATATTTTTTTTTAAAGTTACTTTAAGCATAATATTAAAATACATGATAATATTATATTGTATAACTATTATTGTTTTATTATTATTATTATGTTATTATGTTATTATGTTATTAAAATATTTAAATGTACGTAACACCATTATTTTTTATTATTACCTACTCAAGATTGGTTATTACATGCTTTAATTTGATAAGTTATTATTATTATTATTATTATTTTATCTATTGCTCCATTTCATACAAGTTTATTTCTTTTATCTGTATCTAATGTATAGTATAGTATAATTATGTTCATTTTAAAATTCAACCATATTTTCATCTCTAAAACTGTTATGTCACTCTCACTGTTGGTTTAATTATTAACAATGATTGCAGTTAAATTTAACAAAATTAGTCAACTGTTAAATATTGTATTTGCCTAATATTTTAATTTTTAAGGTGCATTTTTATTGATCAAGAATTTAATGTAAATTCAATGTTATACAATTATTCTTCAACTTGCAATATGTTAATCATATTTTAATTTTAAAAAATCTAAATTAACATTTTTAAAAATTTAGCAAATAGATTACATACTGCAAATTCAACTTTGGAACTAAAATATAATGACAATAAATAATTATGTAACCAAGATTATAAGCTAATGACTAACTTCCATTTATTTTTGATAGAAATTCATTAACTTAAAAATTGTGTTTAAGACAATATATTATTATTTAATAAACCAATTACAATGTTCATTATAGACGAAGTCAGCGGTTCCCAAACTGTGCGCCGCGATGTCTTTTCAGGGGCGCCGCGTCGCCGTAGAAATTTACCTGGTCTAAAAATAAATTCATGCTATGTCTTGGGAAGGGCGCCTTGAGAAAAGTTTAGTTCAAAAAGGGCGCCGTGAGCTAAAAAAGTTTGGGAACCGCTGGACTAAGTGTATGATAATTTAGTATTTTTCAAAGTAATTGTCTTCTATGTTGTAGATTCTACAACCATAATTCCTAACTATTCTAAAACTGCAAATTATTGGTAACAAATATTTAATAATATTACTATTAGAGTGAAATTTGAAAACAAAATAAAAAATGGAGAGATCAATGTATCTAATTTGAATCCAAACTTTTATGTATTTATAAGTTTTTTAAAAAACAACATGAATATTAAATGACAGTTATATTATAAAGATTTAATCATAATAATAATATAATAAATTACATATCTACTATACTCGTATACCCAATTGCACATTTGAAATATTCTAAAGTATACAATTTGAAAACAATGATTTTATTATATTAATTAATATGGAATTATTTAACAAGAATACAATTTTAAAATTCAAAATGATAAATATTGATAAATATTGTTAATAGGTAAGGTTAATAATGTGACATAGTTAATATAAAAATAAAATTTATAATATTACACATTTAATAATACTACCAAACAATAATTAACTAATTTCAATTACATTTTTGGATCATAAAATCATATCTTACCAGTTAAAATAATCATAACTATTTTTAGCCTGGTGTGGCGAGGTGATTGACTGCAGTCACTAATGTATGCCGCGGTCAAACATCGTACGGTGTCACTGGCTCCTGGATGGGTGACCATCCAAGTACTCGGTGACTTATCTTTTATCCTCAAAACATCCCATACGTACCCCCCATACGCTTATTGGTCCACGTTGTCGTGGGTCAGAAAAAAAAAAATTATAACTACTTATAAATAAATAAATATTGGCATACAACATTTTACTTAACTTAATATAATAAAATAATATGTCCGTATAACAAACAAATTTTAAACAAGATGGTTTATTGTTCAATTTTAATAATATAGTTAATTGGCGAAGAAAAACATAATGACACTTTATAGTTCTTAGTAGGTAACAAAATGAATTAAAAATAATACATTGTTTCAATAAGCTGGTTGTTTTTTCATTCTTTTAAGTACACCAAAATAACCGAGTATGTTTGCTAATAAACAAAATGTAAGCAATATCGTTATGTCAAAATATAAATTACTGCTTACAAAACCGTAATTATTTAAAACTGCTTTGCCGTTGTCCAAACAATTAGCGACATCAGTGCATGCTATAAAAATATAAAATAATTGAAATATTAAGATGAGCCTGCATTTAGTTTTCAATAGTGGCATATTTACATAAGAAAAGTGGTAGATTACCACAGTCCCCCTTAAATATTGTAATGATTTATTAATATTATTAATGTACATCTAAACATTTATAATTTTATTTAAAATAAAAATTATCATCATTAATGATGAATAAAATTCTATGCATCTAAAACACGCCACTACATCTCCAATTAATGATTAAATATGCTTACGTAATGATTTGATTCTTTCCCAAAACAGAGAAGACACTGTTTCACAACCAAGGAAAAATAATGACACATATCTTAGTGAGTATAACACTTTTGGTAATGACCTGATAACATTCAAAAATATTTTATATTTAGTAACACTTACAATTTAACACTTACACTTACGGCTGAATAAACTATGCCAGGAGCCCTAGGGGCCACCCTAACACCACGAGCCCATATTTCTAAAAAAACTGTATCTTGTTAAAAACAATATCACAAAAAAAACTACCAATGAAAGTTTTCTAAAAAATATGACTTAGCCCCCAGCCCCAATATACAAGTTTCTGTAGCAGCATTTCAGCAACTGAACTACACCTTAGTACAACTTACTTGAAAGATAGATAAGCACCACTAAGAGGCAATGCTAAGTACTCATAAACTGTTGAAAATACCACAGCTTCCTCCACTCGACTAAAGTATGCTGACAACAGACATCCTGAAATAATAATAATATGTATTTTGTTCAGCTAATAATATGTTTCATAATGTATTATTCATCAATCATTAATTTACTTAAGGGTGTCGGTACCGATTTTTCCAATTTTCCTCAATTCTATAAAATTTGAAAATTATATTTTATATTTAATTTACTACCTGCCTTAATCATAATACTTTTCCACTAATCTACTGTCCGATACATATTTAGGGGGAGGAGTTGATTTGGTGTATTATATCAACAAAAATTACTACACAGGAAAAACTCTCACACATGATTGATATGTTGAATTTTGATAATCCGGCTCCGATGCCCTTAATGTTAAATATAATGATGGTATTAAAAATTTCATTAAATTACCATATGAAACGGATGCAAATGAGATTATCATAAATACTAATAATTGCATATAAACCCAATTGACACCAACAATCCAAAACACAACCATGCAGAAGAGTACTGTCTTTATAAATACCCAAACATACTATAAATAAATACAATTTGATCACTGTTAAAAGCTCGATATAGGTACATTATTCATATTGCATACTAATAAAATTATTTCAGACACATAGTATGCACTCAAGGAGTATACTTTATTGCTGACTTCTCGATGTACAACTGAAAACTTTATTTGATGTGTGGCGATGGCCGAATAACTGAATTGGAACACAGTGTTAATAGTTAAGCATAACCAAAATCCTTGCCAATTTTGAACTGCTTTTGTATCGAATTGTAAGTTTGCATAAGGACTAGCATTAATAACACCTAAAAACTATAATATAAACATAAATTGTTTTATTCATATCAATTAAGCAGTATTCTGTTAAATGTTAATATTTATATTTTACTATTAATGTTCCAAATTCCAATAACTTTTCCTTGTAATTTCTTATGAAACATATGATGGATATATACAGCAGAAGCAATACTTGAGTTATCCAGTTAAGTTTTTCTCTAAGATCCAAAACAAAAACCTCAGAAATTTTCACTAAAACTTCAAAACAGAGACTTACGCTTGTAAATGATGTCCATATTCTGACTGAACCTAAAGTTACAATTTGTATTATCAATTTAGCTTATTACTAAATACTAGGGCTCAGAAATTGATGAGACAAACACATTAAATAATGACCTAAAAACCGTATTTTACATAATATAACACACAAATGTCTTTAAAAGACTTAACATTTTAACCTAAAGTTTTGCGAGGTATTGTATTTAAATAGTGATTTATAAATTGATGATTTTTTCTCAATTAGTGGAAAATAGATTAAAATAACAAACAAATTACTAAAAGATACCCTTAACAATAATAATTACAAAAATTACAAAAAAATCAAGTAAAAATGAGTTATTTAGATTTAAAAGTTACTGAAAAGGATTTTTTAGAAAAGCATAACCTAATAGATGTCATCAACTTCTGAGCTGTTTATTACAAATAATTAATCTCAAATCTCAACATACATCCTTATTGAATGAATTAAACTTAATGTCCATTTGTGCTACGTTTGATGATAGTTCACACATATTGTTTACATTGTTTCTATCCAACACGCCATCTGAATTCAAAACTGATACAACAAAGTCAGCTTTGTTATAGGTGGCAGGGCAAATGTAACCATACCTAATAATAATTTCAATTAATTAATTCATCTGAAATTGCTAGTACCTATAAACATTATTTAAAGGTATACTTTTGAAAAAAATTATTGACCAAAGATACCGATCCTTGGTAAGCCAACCGACCATTAGTTAAAAGTATGACTTCTTGAAACTGATCAAACAAACCAGATGCAGGTTGGTGTATGGTACATATGACAATTTTTCCACTGTGTGCTACTCTTCTTAATGTGTTTACTATGTGTGCAGCAGAGTAACTATCTAATCCTGTAGTTATTTCATCACAAAATAGAATTGGTGGATCATTTATAAGTTGAACAGCCAGAGCTACTTTTTTTCGTTCCCCTCCAGATAGAAAACACAAACGTGAATTCATGATTTTATTCAAACCTAAATGAGCTGCAAGATAATCTATGCGGTCCTTAATTACTTTGTTGGATGTGGTCCGGTCCATTTTTAATTTAGCCTGTAAAAATATATTATTTTCATAGTGGTATCAATTGCATTATTTATAATAGTTTGATAAATATATAGAAAATACCTACCATCAACTTAAGTTGTTCCAAAACAGTTAATTGGACGAAACTTATATCTTCCTGAGCAACAAACCCGGATATTTTTATCATGACATCTTCAGATACTGAACGCCCATTCAGTAAGAGTTCTCCATTAAAATTTCCTTTAATAATATTATATGTAATAGAAGTTGATTATATAAATATCCAAACTATTAGTGGTATGACTTGTGCTACCTACCATTGCAATAATTGGTTTTCAACGTTTTAATTAAAAATATTATTACCAAATGTATTATAATAAAAAAATCTTTATTCTTACAAAAGTATTTAATGGGTAATATTTTAGTAGATAATAGTTATTACACAAATATTTACATTCGGTGTAAAAATTATTATTAGGGCTTAGATTTATAATGTTTAGGGTATTAAAAAAAAGAAAATTTGTAAATAGATTTATCTCTGCTGTACAGTAAGTGTTGAGTGGGTCAATGTAATGGAGATGGTCTGTCAAGTATAAATTACACGGTATTTTTTTTGATATTGCTATTAAAGTAACTTATTTTATTATAAGTATTACAGACGGTTAATTTAATTTTTGCTGAAAACATTGCATTTATTATATTAATTAATATTTAATTATTATAATAGTCTATATTTCTATGATATTATATTATTTTTATTAACTTTTGAGTCATACCACCTTACCGTAGAACAGTGTGAGTAGGTTCATGATATAAATAGGTAGTAGCTTAAAAGTTAAAATCAACCTGAATATTTTTAAAATGTTATTGTGTATAGAAATTATTATTATAAGAATTCAATGAAGATTTCATGCAGGTATCTACGATATGTTATTGTAGGTTAGCCAATATGGGCATAAAACTCTTTTTATCTTCCTTCAAAATGTCTAAGTCATGCTCTGAATTAGAATAGCTCACATAGGTTACAACTTACAATTGATATTTTTATGGACAATATTTAATGCACTTGAATTATAATTATTAGTTTTTATTTTACTCTTATGTGTAACTAACATACTGACTAACCTTTTGTTCGATGACTTATTGTAGCCATTAGTGTAGTCTTTCCCGAACCGCTAGATTAAATAGAATAAAATAAAAACCCATGTTAGTACATAACTTAGTAGTTGGTGTTTAAAATTATATTTTATAATTACCAACCTTGGACCCATAATTCCCAAAAGAGTACCACATTCAACATTTCCGCTAACTGAAAATATTATATGAATATTTTATTAGTTATCACTATTCAATATCATAGTATTTTAAATAAGTAACCATGTTAAAATATTACTTTCAGAAATTAAGTATTTAAATGTTTATATACTAGATCAGTGGTCTTCAACCTACGGGGCGCCAAGGGTTTTTTACTGGTCCTCCAAGCTAATTAAAGTTTTGATTATTTCCATTTAGTTTTCATTGTTTTTAATTTATTGAATTAATTAAATAAAATTAATTTATTAGTTTTTTTTCTTTTGGTGTCATTCGTAACAGCTTATAATAGTAATTTATACCTATATTAAACTAATTACTAATACCTACTAACTTATAACAGAATAACTCATTATAAAATAAAAACAAACATTCATTTTTCTAAATAAATCTTATCTATTGTTCAATTTTTTAACCGATCTATTCCTCAAAAAATGTTGGCCCGCAATGCCAAAGCGTATCTCAATTTTGGCCCGTTATAAAAAAAGGTTGGAGACTCCTGGACTAGATAACTGAACTTGTTTGAATGTTATGTGAATCATTGATAGTTAAAGTTTAATTATTTGAATAAGTAGTATTGTTATTGTTTAAGTTAAATTGATTATTTATTGTATGTTTTAGTATTAAGCAATGCATCAAAGTGCTTTGTTTTTAGTAAACTGTAGGTTGATAACTATGGTTAAATTGAACATTTTTTCAATCAATTATCATGAGGCAGTATTAAATAGTTAGTATGAGAGTGAATGTTTGGACAGATAAACAAAATCTAGAAAAAAAAAACTTGAACTCAACTAAAAGTATTACTTGCACTAACAAAGAGTATAAGTAAATTAATAAAATCACAACTATTACATAATAGACAATAGTATTACATCTTTTTTACTTTTTATCCGTTGATATTTTTTATTTGAAAGATTTTTCCTAAGAAATAGATTAAAGAGGTTTTAAAATAGCTTTAAATTAAACATTCATATAAATATAGTTATAGTTATAGTTTTATTAGTAAATTTATATCTGCCAAAGCAAAAAAAAATTATGTTTGGTTAAGAATTCAATATTAACAATATTGTTGAATGTAATATGCTTTTGCTAACTTACCATTGTTCAAAATTTGTTTAGTTACTACCTCACTACTACCAAACAGTTTAGGAATTTTCCTCACAACCGTTACATTCAATTGTTTCCATGACAGTACCAAATCTCGTTTAAACAATGTTGAAGAATAATCATCCACTTCTTCATTAGTGCTATTCCAAGCCTTCCACATTTCATTGTACCTCAAATCCAATAATTTTTTCTAGAATAAAATGATTACAAAAATGTATTGAAGAGATTAAATCAAAATGTACAATTTAAAATTAGCTACTCACCGTCACCATGGTAAAACGAACAGCAACCCAAACCCGTTACAATATAAAATGCTATGAATTATAATATACTACAAGCACATTATGTTTGTACTTTTTCAGTATATCGCTAAAACTTATCAGCCTGATGACCTCAGATTTTATTAGTGATCTTTGGGCTCATGGACTTATACATTTCAAATTTTGAGCCATTTTCATTAGTGTATAACTGCTTTAATAGTACTATCTACCGTTAGGATTGTTAACAATTCATCTTTTTTTGGAACTATATCAACACAGTTAGGTCAACTTATAAGTTTTAAAGGATTAATCATACTTTAAAATTAAATAACATACTTTCTAACAAAGTACACACTCTACATCTGTAATGAACACAGTTGTACATGGAGGAATTAGTATATTACAAAATAACCTTTCACCTACAAAGATAACTCAGTATTTTGTACTAGTAATAAATTATAATTAGTTATTTTATTATCACAGGCTTATATAGACATTGAATATTATGTTATATAAATTATTAAAATTAATATTTATACAAAACTCATAATATAAATAATTATAATCAAAACCCATAATCGGGCTTATACAACAGAAAATATGTAGTTATATAATCAATAATCAGTTAATAAAATACCCTAGTTTACCTATTTACAATATTAACAAATGTACAACAATACAATAAATAATATAAAAATTAGATACTGGGTGTCTAGAACAAATAGAACATGTTTTAAATGTGCATAATATAGACAATGTAAAACGTATTATACTTTCTAGACTCTTGAATAGTAGATAAAGTTACGATAATAATAATGCATGAATAAATTATTATATATTACACAGTTAATAATTTAACTACACTACGTTGTTTTATTTGACACCATATTAGTAGGCAATAGTTTTGAAGTCTGTTCTGTATCTCCGATTGATATAACCACAGAGTCTCTTCTTTCAGATTCAATATTATCTATTCTTGGAGTATCTTTGGAAGTATCAACTAATCGGCTATTAAGAGCTTTCAAGGCTAACAATCTATAATAAAACAAAGAACAAGTTATAAAAATGTACGCTAATATTATAAGGTATACTATATTAACATTTTAAGTAATATAATCATTTATAAATCATATTATATTGTATATATCATAATCATGGCTTTTTAGAACTTGGTGCATTAGCATATGAATCATTATTTAAGCAGTTGCATACATAGAATAAAGATACGTGTTGCACATTTCAAATCGGTTTGACAACAATTTTTCTTTAGATTATAATATTATTCATCTCAAATTCAAACATTTATTGTTGTTCATTCTTCCGTATTTTACCAACATTTTAGTGATTTCATAGGTATATTAAGGCCCTAATCAAATCCAAGTTACGATAATTTATAAATAATTAAATAATAAATATAATACAATTATTATAGATGATACATGTTGCTTAAACATTTACATTTTATTATTTTAAACCATATTACTGGATATTTATAAATTAAAAAAAGAAAAACTTAATTTAAGTTAGTAAGGTAATTGTAAGTTTTCATATAAATTTTAACTTAACTGAGTAAAAAAAAAAAATCAGGATAACTATTAACTATAAGCTTTTTAAAATGTTTTCTATCAACTTAAGAGGATGTCAGCGCACTACTTGTTTTCTCTCTCCGTACCACGCGCAACATAGACAAAACGGAATCATTTTTTCTATGTTTTTAAGTAATCTTAGAATAAAATTTCTCATTACAAAAAAGGTAGAGAATAACATTTTTGAGGGAATGGCATATCGATTTTATATTTTATTGTTATTTGACTTTCAAAATGAACAAAAAAAATTTGTACATTTTAATTATGTTTAAATTGTTTTGAGACAATATTTAGACAAATCGATATCTCATTCCCTCGAAAATATTATTCTCTATCTTTTTTGTAATGGGTGATTTTACTTTAAGATTACTTAAAAACACAGAAAAAATGATTCTGCGTTCATGCGTTTTGTCTATGTTGCGCATGTGATAGAGAGAAAACGAATGATGCGCTGACATCCTCTCAGTGGTGGATACGAGGGGGGAAGGGGAGTTCGCCCCCCTCATCTTGGGCTGTATTTTTAACGTTATTTTCTATTATAATATTTGGCTTAATAAAAAGACAATTTCATTTTTGAAAATTCAACCCCCCCCCCTTGGGTGACTTCTGGATCCGCTACTGCATCCTCTTAATTTAATTCAATTAAAAATTATCATTAACTTGCCCAGGCTTGGATGATGGTATACTTAAGTATCTTATCAGTTATCACAGTTTAAAATATATTTGAATACCTAAATAGCACCTCACTATTAACTAATAATTCAGATGTTTATTTTCAGTTATTAACCAGTTTTGTAACAAAAAAATATATGACTTAAAAACCATACAGAAATTTAAATTATCTAAAAATAATTTATAAATACTATAAAAATAGTTATTTTATTTTATTCATGTTAGGTGATAGGTAGGTAGATGTATTAAATATTATTTATTTTTAAAGAAATAATCAATATTCATTTACTTTCTTCTGTCCATATCAAGTGATCGAATACCAGGCAATGCGACAGTAATGCCAGTTGGTGCACTGGCAATATCAACTCTGCGTACAGTCTTTCTGCATATACCAGCTTTTACGAAAATGCTGTATACTGAATTTGACAAAACTGAAATCGGTGGTTGAACAATAACTGGGAAAAAACTATAAAAAAAAATCAAGTTAAAAATGCACACAGGTAGGTAATATGGTAATAAGGTACCTTGCAAAAGTGAAATTGTCAGCCATATCACCTCTTGTTCCATTTGTATGAATCTGATAAAACCTCAAATACGTCCAACTCATCAACACTCCACTGATAACCATTGTCGGTTTCGTGCCATCGACAAAACCGATGAACCAGAGTACGAGTGCAATGAATATTGTGTACAAGGGTACATTGCGGTTGGTGATGCGTCCGGCTGGCGTGTCGAGCACGGTGCTGTCAGGCATGATCTGTTTTACAGCCACGGTGACGCCGGCTAGATATCCAGCCAGTCCGCGCACGTGCACCGAGAACAACAATTCCGGGTCCCAGGTGCACATGTAAAGGATGTAATAGAACACGGCGCATGCCAACGCCACTCCTACATTGACGACAGCAAAGAACACGAGCACTTGTAGTTCACCCCACAGGGGTTCGATGAGCTTGCTGCACACGGCCACCATGGCGATGTCGAGCAGTACTTGCCATAGGTGGGTTTCGAAGAAGCAAAATGTGAATGGTGTCCATAGCCAGAACGACGGCGGAAACAAGTAACCGGGAGTCACGCCGAACACCGTCGAGCTCTTGGACCAAAACGAGAAGAAATAGCACACAGACAACACGCACGATATGATTTTAATACACAATCCGGTGTTGTTGAACAGCAGTTCGGTGTTTTGCTTGATGTGAGGTAAATTTTTACGTACTTTGTTGAAAACGGACATTGTGATGTTGGCAGTGACACGCGAAAGCTCCAAAAACAAATATCAATTTGCACACGCACGTACTTTCATCGTATATTTGTATTATACTAATCGTACTCGGCGTTCTACAATTGCTCATAAGTACATAACATAATAACACTATAACAATTAATTGTAAATTGTAATAGTATTTTTTTTTAATTAATAATAACTAATATCATAGAAGTCATCAAAAAATGATAGCAATGTGTTTTTCACAGTACATGATAATGTTTTGATGTTGTTTTTAAAAACCCCATTATCAGTAAACTGTGGTTACCGCCTTCGACCATATAAATAAACTAGTATAAACTAGTTTACACACAGACTTCTATAGAAGTCTGTGAGTTTACATGGTCGACGTAGGTTACCACAATCACAATTCTGTGCATAGATAATTATTATCCACCCTCTTCTATTATCTATGTAATTATCTATGATTCTGTATACAGGTATACTATCTATAGCCGTGGTGGTTACTGATAAGCTTAGATCATATTATTATTCACCATAGACCTTGCCCATGAACATTAACCCTCTAATGTTCATGACCTTGCCACTGGTGTACACTGTTGGGTACTCCCGCTATTATAATAGGTATAATATGTGCATAGATAGTACATACCAAGGTGGATTGATACCTTGGTACATACAATACTATTTTAATATAGGTACCTATACGGCTGTACAGAAGGTGTTAAAAAAAGTATAAACCTAAACTTTTTTTATGATATACAAATTGAATTTATATTATTTATTAACTTTTGAAAAATGAATCAAAAAAGTGGTAACTTTGAACTCTACAACCAAAAAGGTAGTACATTTTCTTAATACCATCGTAAAATTATAAGAAATTAGGTACGTACAAGTTAAGATTTATTAGATAGGTATCTATACAAATATAATATTGTCAGTGCCGCAACCAGGGGGTAGGGGTTGTAACCCCCCCCCCCCCCCCAAATTTCTCCGAGTCCTAGTATATTTTAGCTAATGGATATATATATATTGTAATAATGTAACATTGTAACCCCAAAATTGTTTTCTAGTTGCGCTACTGAATATTGTTATATTATTCCCCAATTTAAACGATCAAACAAATAAGTAGGTACCATTGTTTCTTATCAAAAAAGTAATAATATAATGTATAATAATATTATTAAACATCATTGTTCTGTGTACATTGTATTATTGTAGGTATAACTAATTAAAAAAACAACCGTCAAAATATTCACTAGTGAAATTTTATCGAAAAGTAGCAAGTGTATAATATTCACTAGTGGAATTTCACATGATATAAATGATATAAATCTTATAGGGGGCAAATTATACCTAGTGAAATTTTATAGGGTAAATTAAAATAGGTACCTACCTATCAAAACTATACTATAAAAAAATCACTAGAGAAATTTTACCTGAGGGTGAAATATCACTTCGGTAATTCACTAGACGATATTAATGGCTAGGGCTCGGAATTTTCTGAAATATAAAAGTCAAAATATTATGTAAATATTTATGTTGTTATTTTTACCAAAATGTGTTTAAATAATATGAAATATTTAACAAAAATTTTTTATTCAACATTATAGTTTTTAAAATTTTAATCATACCTACCCATATTAAAGAAAAGTATTGAAAATAAAAATAAATGAACGAACTAGAGCCACTGCAGACCACTAAATAGACAAATAAATTGTACAACAGATTCAGCAATATCATAAAAGTCGTTTATCCATTTTATTTTATAAAAAAATAAAATAATATAAATTACGACGTTATCTAATACGATTTACGTTTGATTGAAAATAATTCTAGCAGAATAATGATTACTGTCAAAAAAATACAAAATATTTAAAAAAAAAAAATATCGTCTTTATGGTCTTATAATAACTACTTCAAAATATACAAAAATATTTTATAATTAATATTTAATATACATTTTATTAGATTTAAGATCTGTAGAATTAAAAAATCTACATTCATAAATAATATGATAATAATAATGATAATAATAATGATAATAATATGAAATAATATGATAATACATAAACATTTGCACTTTTTTATTGACGTATCTGAAGGAAGTTATCAAACGCTTAATTACAATAAGAAAGCATCCAAAAATATATCAAAAGACGCTGCAGCAAATTCTGCGGATATCATTAACATTGCTGTAGCTGACAATGAAACTGACATGAACAATAAAGATAAAATTACATCCCAAATCCCAGAAGCAACCGAAACGGAAATAATCAAAATTCTGGACGTAAATTTAGAAAGCATATTATTAAAGTTTAGGCATCATACGTTTAATCGAGGTTGGCTTTGAAAATGTCGTCCCTAATACTAGCTGTTTAATGATAGGTTAAATACGATTAAAATGGTATACTTGGTAATATCATGGACCCTATTCGTTGTTTGATTTTCAACCAGGACAATTGGAAAAATACAATAAACTCAGTATTAAAGTTAACAATAAAAAGTCTATAAAATGCATTATTATTATTATTACGCGTCGTCCGGGCTATTAGCTCGAAAACAGTAAATTTAATGAAACAAAAATGAATTGTGTAAGTACCTATAAGTAATTTACATCTATAAAAATACAATTTTTTTTATGTATTAAATACAATTTTTTTATATATTAAATATAATTAAAAAATATATTTATATTAATTGATTAAGTAATCGATATATTTTAAATATTATTTACCTATTTGGCATAGTTTGAGTTATAAAATTACATCATACTTCCAAATTGAAAAATATAATACATTAATGGTCCATGGCATCACCTATGGTTCCATAAATGGCTTGTTTAATAACTGAATATGAACAGATATTATACTACTATTAATTATTATAGGCCTATTATATTATAGTACCCACTACTCACTAGGTACCATTATATTAATTAACCATGTAATAGTATGTAACTACGTCATGTCTACATATTGCATATTATATCGTAGTACCTACCTATTAAATAATAAACCTAGGTAGCCTCAAATATTAAATAAAACAATCAAAATTACGATAGTGATGTACCTAACAATAAATATTATTAAATTCAATAAATGTATTTAAATTATTCATTTCATCTAGTGTTCCTGCTGGGTAGCTAGGTACTCCCCTCACGCCGTCAAAGTCAATTGTATACCATCCCATATTCTCATTGTAAATATTATTACAGATTGTATTTATTCAAATGAATGTTAAAAAAAAAATTATTCATTAATCCGTTAAATATTAATTCAAATTCGATCTATATAGTACCTACTGGCTACTACCTAGTACTACCCAGGGCCGCATTTAGGGGGGGGCACTGGGTACAACTGCCCCGGGCGCCAGTATTTTAGGGGTGCCAAAATTTTGTGGACAGAAATGTCTTTACTTATGATTTTTTAAAATTGTATACTTTAAATTATTTTTATAACAGTATTATATAATATAATCTAGTATAATAGTATTGTATATATTATTATAGTATAATAATTATGCTGTTTGAAATTTATTATTTAAACAATCAATGTATTTATAGCAATATAGCTACAGCGATCGATAATTATTAATATACCTAGTTCCCAAATTTGTTGTAATTATGTCACAATTATTTTTAAAAGCACTGAGCATTTTTAATTTCAACCTCCTAATAGTACCAACTAGATCCAATTTGCTTCCAAAAACATACACCGGGCATCATCGAAGCTTATGATCAGAGCATTTTTTCTACCAGAAAAGTTGAAAAGTTACAAACATTTTGAAATACCTCAAATAAACGTCTGAAATTATTAGACTGGACAAAATGAAAAGAAAATTGTAACTAATTTTCAAGCCTCCCCCATTGAAAAATCCTGCGGACGCCACTGGGTATGTAGAGATTCAAAAATAATTAATGTTTAATAACTGGTAAGTTGACAAGTTGTTATGAAACAAATTTATGCAGGTCACTTTTTTGTCACTTTTATAAATAAATTCAGTCACTTTTTTTAAATAGCTTAAACCACTACCAGCCCTGTATATAGTTACATTAATTTTATAAAATACTATATACAATAAAATATAAAATATTTATTTGCATAGTTTTATATAATTTTATTTTATTTATCCATGAAGTACCTACTTAAAAAAAAAAACAACTTAATGATACTAAATTATTAGCAAGGTTTGAGTGACATAAATTCCAATATATCTTTGCGGAGGGATCAAGCAATTACTAAACAATATTTTTTTTAAAAAGCACTCTTAAACAAATATTCTTTTCTTCGCTCAAAATCTAAAGGGTAATGAGGATCTACCTCACATATTTTCCGTGGGAGGAGCAATTTTTTTTCACCGGGGCTTGGGGGGCGCCAATTTTTTTTTTGCACCGGGGCGCAAAATGTCTAAATGCGGCACTGGTACTACCTACTATCATATTGTATATTTGTATTCCGTACAATAATAGTCAATAACCATATAGGTTTATGAACATCATCGATTCCTAAGGCAAATTATTATTTTAATTTTGCTTATTTCAAAGCATCAACAAAACAATTAGATACCTATCAAGTTATTAGCCAACTTAACAATTTCAATGACACATTTTGTGTTAACAATACTATTCTACTATTATTTTTAGATTCTGAGCGGAGCGATGAATGTATTGGTTTTACAATGATGTATGTTTTTATATTTATTTTTTTTTGTGTCTGTGTACACGATAAGTAGTCGAAATAATGCTTCGATTTTCGACTTCAGTATCTTGTTCGATTGGAAAGTGAATCTAGTTGGTACTTTGGGGGGTCAAAAGTAAAAATTTCACAGTAGTTTTCACAAGCACCGGGAAAAACAACATAAAAATTAAGGAAAAACGGGAATTTTTACGCAAAATCGGTTTTCCAAAAAATCGATTTTGGTTTTTGGTGTAACTTTAAAACAAATAACGGTACATACATGAAATTTTCAGTGGTTGTTTATATTTGCATTTTCTATACACGATAACATTTTCAAAATATTTTGAACTGTTTAGGCACATTTTCATTTTCCATTTTTTTTAGTTTTTTTTCTAAAAATATCAATCAAATTTTATTTGTTGGTTAAAAAAGCTTGAAAATTTAATACAAGGCTCCTACTACATTGTTTCAATGGTATTTGAAAATTATTAAAAATCCTTATTCACAGTTTTTTTTTATAAGCATTTAAAGCTCAAAAATTGACAAAATATGGAAAAATCACGAAAATTAGCAAATTATTTTGAGTTAAGAATTCTTTTTAAATCTAAGGTTTTAAAATGTAAAACAAGATTCCTTATAAGATTATCTACCTTTATCAAAAAAAAAAAATGTCTATAAGAAAGTCAAATTTTTACAACATTGGATACTCACTCGATTTCTCATGTAGCAATTTCCTTATTTTGTTGTACTTCAAAAATGAATAACTGTAGATACATGAAAATTTCATTGAATATTTATATTAGGATTTCCTATACACCATACAATTTTGAAAATACTTTGACTCTTTTTGAGTTGTTTACGGACATTTTCAGTTTCCAATTTTTTTAGTTTTTTATTCTATAGATAATAAAGTTTTATCTGTTGGGCCAAAAAGTGTAAAAATTTAATACAAGGCTCCTGATATATTGTTACAATATCAGTTGAAAAATATTAAAAATACATATGTATAAATTTTTTTAATAAGCATTTAAAGATCGAATTTTGATAAAATTTATAAAATTTAAAATTGAATAATTATTTTGTAGTTGAAAGTGTACAAAATGTTCAACTTTTATATCTAAGGATTGAAAATTTAAAACAAGATTCCACGTAAGTAGTTAATTCTGTTACCAAAAAATCTAAATAATACACTAGCACAGTTTATTTTTATAGTCATTTTAAGTTCAAATTTGGATGAAATTACATAAAAAAACCTAGAATAACTATTTTAGTTATTTTGTTGTGATTGTATAATACTATTCGTGGGTACTTGATACTTCTAAAGTATACTACTATATATCTATGATAGTATCAGGGTATTGATGTTGACGTACAATGCATTATAAGTACCTAATGGACATTGCGATATGATTAATTTGGAATTTATTATAGGTACCTATTTTAGGTAAATTTTTTTTAATACGATAGATAATATAATATGTCTTATACCTAGACTGACATACCGTCTCCGCTCAGAATCGTAGTTCTTATACAATGATATTATATCATTGAATTCAAATTTAATACAATTCATTATACAGTGACCCACTTCTAACCTACTGTACAGCAGAGCGACGCACCCACTTGCCTACTTTTTTTTTTTTTGTTTCACCCTTTATGTTCTAATAACTGATAAGTGATACCTATAAAAATTAATTTCAAATTAATTGAAATTATTACTTACCTAATAAGAACATTTTGATCAAATTACTAGGGGTTTAATTCAATTTTTCAGTTTTAATCAATAATTTATGTTTGATAACTTATTATTTACATTTCAACAAAAAGGTTTTTTAATCTATAAAAAAAAAACTAACTTCTAACTGCTACTTTAACTTAAGTTACTACTTACAATTTTCTCCAAACTAATTTCTAACCAAATAAGTTTCAGAAACTAACTTATATTCTAACTTAGTTAGTTTTTTTTTATTAAAGTAACTTAACTTCAACTACCTAGGTAGTTGAAAAAATGACTAACTTGGCAGCTTTGTTCTGAGCAGAGACGGTTTGTCAGTCTCAGATTCTTATTACATTATATTTATATTGTTATAACTATTAATAATAATATTAATTTGGTAGCAGGTAAGTTGAATTAATGTTATGAAATTACAAAAATTAAAAAATAACTGAAATCGTTATTCTTGGTTATTTAATATGTAATTTCGTCCAAATTATAACTTAAATTAACTTTTAAAAAAAACTGTGTTTATGTATATTTTTAGACTTTTTGGTAACGGAATTATCTACTTACGTGTAACCTTGTTTTAAATTTTCAATCTTTAGCTATAAAAATTGAACATTTTATAAATTTTTAACAATAAAATAATTTGTTAATTTTCAATTTGATAAATTATGTCAACATTTGAAATTTAAAAGCTTATAAAAAAATTGTATTTTGAATATTTCAATATTTTGTAATAATCTATTAACATTTACACAATGAATAAATATTTAATTGGCATTTAGATAAAAAATATATAAAAAATTGGAAACTGAAAATGTCCGTAAACAGATCAAAACATTTCAAAATATTTTGGTGATGTTATGGGTTATATAAAATGCTAATATAAACATTCAGTGAAAATGTCATGTAGGTATTTATGGTCATTTGTTTTAAAGTTAGATACACCAAAAA